GTGGGTCAGACAGAAAGTGGGTCAGACAGAAAGTGGGTCAGACAGAAAGTGGGTCAGACAGAATGAGTCAGACAGAAAGTGGGTCAGACAGAAAGTGGGTCAGACAGAAAGTGGGTCAGACAGAATGAGTCAGACAGAGAGTGGGTCAGACAGAGAGTAGGTCAGACAGAGAGTAGGTCAGACAGAGAGAGGGTCAGACAGAGAGTAGGTCAGACAGAGAGTTGGTCAGAAAGAAAGTAGGTCAGACAGAGAGTGGTTCATGGCAGTGGGATGGTGGGTCAGACAGAGAGTGGGGTATTAACCATAGGTCAAGTACTTGTTTACTTACCTGCCCCACCGTTTTCTGTCCCACAGTCCCTGTACAAGCTCTACAGTCCCCCTTGCCAGGCAGGAAGGCCAACATGCCCCGCGTCTCGTCTGCTTCCTCTATCGCATCACTTCCGTCAGCGTCGTCCGCGCGTCTTCACATGACGGTGGACAGACGCATGGCAGCCACTCCTGTCCACTTCTACAGTGAGGCTGGGGGGTTAAACGACATCAGCGAACACTTCGACGAGCACAACGGGAGCAGCGGTGCCACCTCCCCGGACAAGGCCAAGGTCAAGGGAACTTCCAGTCTGCGCCGGTCCAACTCCATGATGGGCTCGTCCTCCAGATCGCCTGCTGTGGCTACTTCCAGTCGTGGAGGCGGGGTGAAGAGGTCAAGTTCTTCTGTAGGCGCCAACGGAAAGTTGAGATGAGGAGGCTGGGCTGTCTGAGTGGCTACTGGAAAAACAAAACAAAACAACCCACAACAAAACAAAACCATCTTCACGCAGTTTACTGCATCATAATTTGTAGTGAGTAAGGAGAATTACCCACTTTTCAGAGCTTTGATCTACACAAAGTTTGAAGCTGTGTAGTAACATTGTGCTGTTCAAAGCGCTGCTTTATTTCGTCCTTCCTCTTGTTCCGTCAGATGTCGAGGAGAGGTACAGTTTTGGGTCAAGGACTAGGTGGGTGGCCTCTGTTGTTGATATGTTATTCTGTAGAGGACCTCTTTGACGTCACACAGCCAAGTTTTGTGTGGTCTGCCCCTGTCCTTGTATCCGGACTGTTTTGCTTTGTAAGCTCGTGCAGCTGGTTGATTTGGTGACATTCTCATCAGATGACTGAACCACTTGATTCTTTGATGTTCTACATGCTTCATGAATGGTTTCATTTCTCTTAAATTTTGGATGGTTTTATTTCTTATGCAGTCTTTCCAAGTGCTTCTGTGTGGAAGATTGACCAATGTATGAAAGACCATGTTTTTTCATAAACAAGAATTACCTCAATTGAAAGAAACTATTGAAACTTACTAGAAATAAAGGGATTTTTAACTTGTGTGCCTACAAACTTTCTTTGAATTGTTCCAGACTTTTGCTGGAATAGAAAATGGAGTAACTGGCCATTTTTTCTGGAATTTTCCACAGTTCAGCGGAATGTGGGATGTGGGATGTGGTGGGAAGTGGAATGTGAGATGTGTCCTTGAGAGAGGCAAGATAGCCTCAGCTCTACATGACGGTTTGGTACAGTGGCGAGCAGCAATAGCTCTTTTTGGAGTATCTGTATGTGTAGGTTAGTTTCTTTGTTTGAGTTTTGCGGCACTTGTAATACAGTTATGTCTTGTAAGAGTCGAAGATTAGAGGTGTTACTAGAGGATATTAAACAACGAAAAGAAGGATGGAAGAGAGATAAGGATGATAGATTTTTTATGGGAAAGAAGGAACAAACCACATAACCCACCAACCGCGCACAGTATTTGTATGATTACTATGTACTTTGTGATATTGTTGAATTCTCTGACTGTTGATCGGTAGTGATGATGACTGTTGTTGTGATTTAAGCCAGGCGAGAATGTGTGTGGACCTCTTGGTGAGCTTTTGATTATCGATGAATTACTGCGCATGAGGTATATGTTGTGTATGGTACTGGCTACTGTAAACCTTTCAGGGGAACAATAAATTATGTGATATCTTATTTAACAACCTTCAATACGACTTGGGATTTTTAAAATGTTTGTGTTTTTACACCCCCATGAAACAATTTAGATCATTTTGGAGGTGGTCTTCTGACCCTGACTGTCCGGCGGTCAAACTCAACAAATTAAGACCCTGGCAATCAGACATGACAAATTAACTGATAAGATCTCTGACTGTCAGGCTGTGTATCCATTTCCTCTGGAAAAGTTAGAAAAATGTTATGTTAATTTTTTTTCATCTCTAGAACGTAACCTTTTGCCTGGACAAGGATTCGAACCACAGCTTGTGGAAGCCTGTCTAGCAGCCTGATGACGTGACTCAAGATACAAGAATGTTGTTACTGCAATAAACATTTGCAAAGCTTGTCGGAAGAAACGATTATTTCATTTTTGAGACAATGTATGAGTGAACTAGGGGCGGTAACTCAAAATATTTTACTTTGTTGAAGGGTTTCAGTTTCCCCCGCTTACTTCCCCTGTCCTGTGAGGGGGGAAAAGGGGGGGGGGGCGCGGAGTGTTTGCCTGTTTGTCTCTCTCTTTGGTCTCTTTTATTTATTTATTTATTTATTTCTTTAGTAGAGGTTTTACGGCGCTTGCAACTGCATAAGATCACATGAGCGTCAAGGGGTGGATGTCAACAGAGAAGTCTTTACAGGGAATCGGGCTTACTCTGCTCACCTCTCTAGCTTTAACAGCACCCTCCTTCCTGTCAGCTATCCTTATCTCTCCTCTTTCCTTTAAAAAAAATCTGTTTTACTTATCTCTCCCCCTTCCTTCTTATCAGCTATTTATCATCCCCATATCTCCTCCTTTTTTCTATCAAACATCTATCGTACTTGTCTCTCCTCATTCTTTCCTATCAAACATCTATCGTCCTTATCTCACCCCCTTCTATCCTATCAAACATCTATCGTATTTGTCTCTCCTCCTTCTTTCTTATCAAACATCTATCGTCCTTATCTTTCCTCCGTCTTTCCTATCAAACATCTATTTTACTTTTGTCTCTCCTCCTTATTTTCTTCGTATATTACTCTCAAGTAATATTTC